AGAGGTGGTCCCGATAGGTGGCTCGTCTCCGCCAATTTTTGCTGTGTCAGCAAACTTTTTTGCTGGATTAGCAAAATTATTTGCTGGATTGAAAAAAGAGGAAGGAGGGGGGAACAAGTGGTCCCAAATAAATAGTTCGTCTCCGCCTACCTGTTGCATTACCCAGTGTGAACAAATTATTTGCTGTGTCAGCAAAATTATTTGCTGGATCAGCAAAATTATATGCTGAATCAGAAAAATTATAAACTTTATCAAATGCTATGTCATCTGCCTCCACGTTAGCGTAAGCTTAGGTTTTTCGACGAAAATACGTCGAAAATGACCACGTTGCACACACAGACGTACAAGGAGGGGTCCGATCGTAAAATCAGAAAAAGTATCCCCCCCCCCAAAAAAAACAACAACAAAAAAACACACACACATTCTGAAGTAAGAAGTATCCTTGGATTTGCCGTATCTTTCACTTTTTCGGCCCTAAAGGTTGATATATTGAAAACAGTGGGAAAAAGTCAAGTTTTAAGACTGCTTGACAAACAATACAATCTAAAAACTGCACTGGTTCATTTTTTTGTATTTTTCTTAAGCAAAGCAGAAGGGTGGGGTGTAGTCACGGTGTTGCCCCGTTACAGTCTTTTGTCATGTGAAAGGAGCAAATCTCTAGGGCCGCAGGCCCCCGCCCGTAGTTAGTTAACTCAAATATGCAAAGTGATTTACCGGTCACATTTATTTAATTATGTTCCTCAGTAAATCGCGAAACTGAAATGGTCGGGCAGCAGGCCCGGCCATCGCCGCCGGCAGGCCTAGCAGGCCCGGCCTCTGCCGAACGGAGTTGCCGGCGCAGCGAAGTTGTAAAATTTGTAGACCTCTAGCCCTTCTCCTTCCTCTTACATGGACGACGGACGGACGGGCACGAGAGCGGTTGCATAAGCCCGCTTTTATCCTTTTTTAAAAGCAGAAGGGTGGGCTATAAGTACTGAATATATCAAGAGGGCCAACCAAAAAAATGCTTTTAGGAAAAAGAAGAAAAATATCCAAAACAAACCAAAGATGTGTGACTCTTGAGAAAAAAAAAATACAAATCTGCAGAGAACTCAATGGCGTTAATTGAAAACCCAGAAAAAATCAGAAACTTTGAGGGATTTTCCTCCAAGTAGAATTAACAGAGAATTTAAAGGAAGGAAACTGGATCCAATCGCAAAGAAAAGACTTATATTTGGAAAAATTTGAAAGGATCAAATTGCAGAGACTGCAAACACTACATCAACCAAAACCAAACAGGCATTTTACAAGTTATCATCAGGTAGAGTCATAAAAAAAAATAGAATGGTTCACATGGCGAAGAATATGTTATCTAGACCGCTACTTCAGAAGTATATGAAGAATGATGATGGTTTGAACTATACTAGAGTCTCCAAGATCAAAGTCAGGCACACAGAAGTCAAGGAATTTTATGCTAGAGATGACACAAGCTCAAAGTGTCCTGACAAAAAAAGCATATATGATTTCCTACAAAAGTGGAAAACTGAAGAAACGGAAGAGGATTTTCCAGGCGAAACTCACAGATCTTTATTCAAAATATTCATCTGAATGTTCACCAAAAAATGTTAAACCTTTGTAGACTAAAGGCTTTGATTGTTCTTCATTAAAAAGCCAATGATAGAAACACTTGTCTGTGTAAGTATAGTGAAAATTTTGCAATGAAAGTTGAAGCTCTACATAGAATTAGTGTCATCAGAGAAGGCACTCCACATAAAGTTATGTCTGCTGTTTCTTGCAATGCACAAAATGACGATTGTTTAGTTAGAAAGTGCGTAAGCTGCAGAGATAAAAGTATAGATTTTTCAACTGAAGTCAGTAATAAAACTATTGTTAAATATTCAGAATGGGATAAGAATGTTGATAAGAAAACTGTTAAAGTTGACAAAAGTTCAGATCTTCTAATGTTTAAGAGCATCTTCTTGGACAGTCTAATTACATATCAGCATCACTACTTCAAACAGAAACATCAACATGAAGTATTGAAGAACAAGAGAGAAAATTTGGCTGGTGGAGAAATTTACATACATTGTGACTTTTCTGAAAACTGTGACTGCAAATTTACAAAAGAGATTCAGCCAATGTATTATGGTGGTAATAGAGAAGAAATTTCTATTCAGGTGCTTTATACCAAAAATAAAAGCTATGCTTTCTGTACGTTTTCTAGAAATGGGCGCCATGATGCACCTGCTATTTGGGCGCATCTTCTGAAAGTGTTGAAACATTTCATGCCAAAGTTCTGTGGTATCACTAAAGTTCACATTCAAAGTGACTGTCCAACCACACAGTACAGGAATAAGGATTATTTTTTGACCCCCACTGCGCTTGGCATTAGCTATCCAGAGATCACAGAAATTGTACACAACTACACCGAAGCTGGCCATGGAAAAGGTGGCCCTGATGGAGTTGGTGGATGGGCGAAGAAAGCTGCAGATGATGCCGTTGCAAGTGGTACAGATATAAATACTTTTAGTAAGTTGGTGAATCTGCTAAAAGATAAGAGTAAGAAAACATTCATTGATGTTGTTGAGACTAATGATATTGAAGCCATTGATGCTATACTGTCTGGTCAAAAAGTTGCCACTTTTGTTGGGACAATAAAAGTGCACCAGTTTACTTGGCATAAAGAGAATTCATTTAAACTATTTCTAAATGAAGTCAGCTGCTATGAGTGCCCTCCTGGCCAGCATTGCGTCCATTTCAAGATGCCAAACAGCCCATGGGAAATACCGGGGGCACCACAAGTTGAGCAAGATTTAGATGACCCGCCCCCTGATGTTGAGCCAGTCAAGAAAGGCAGCTGGGTAGTGGTAACATTTGGAGAGCATTGGTATCCAGGTAAATATTAATATCTATCTTTTATTGCCTATGATTTATATTCAATAGCATGTGCTAACTAAATACTGTTATTATTTTTAGGTCTGGTGGAAAAGGCAACAAAGAGGAATTTGACCGTTAATTTTATGGTAAAACATGAGAAACGCAATGATTTGTTTCTGTGGCCAGGCCAGTCCGACATTCAAATTGTCAAAAGAGAAGATATTATCCTTCGACTAGAACAACCACCTGTCCCTGTTGATCGGTCACACTTCAAAGTTCCTGAAAACAAAATCCAATAGTCAAACTTATGTTTTAAAAGAGATTTATTTCACTAAATAAATGACAGTTTTTGGATATGCTTTATTCCTCCTACCTTCTTAAGTCTTCCAATAATTCAATTCAAGCATGCTTCTAACTGTTTTGAGAGGAAAGGGCGAGGGGGAAAGGAGAAAAGGGGGGGGGGGGTAGGGGGGATTCACGAAGTCTGCTTCTTCTCGATGTTCAGAATTTCCTCGCAAGGGAACCTTTTCACGTGTAAATCTCCGATTTCGTTGAAACTTGGAAAATTTGAAGGTTATATATCTAGAAATCGGATGGCACTTGAATTTTTTCCTGAACCTCACAATTAGTTTTCCCCTATATAGGGGTAGGGTAGGGGTACTCTTTTTATGGCATGGTTTTTATAATATTTTTTGTAAAATATAAGGCAGTGTTCTAAGGGGTAATTCATCAAAGTATCGCCCTTAGCGCCAAAATTTTGTCCATTTTGCTCTATTTTGTACCGTTAGGGCGGTAGAGGGATATTTGAGACAAAAACAGTGTAAGGCTTAAGTAAACCCTTAGTAACTGTGAGGTTCAGGAAAACAATAACCTTTAAATTTTCCGAGTTTCAACGAATTCGGAGATCCACTCTAGAGACACCGCGGGGCAAGGCATTGAAAACACGCTGAAGACATATTTGAGACAAACTCAATCGGACAGACGGAAAAAGTGAAAGAAGACGGGCCGCCGAAAGGAGGCGAACCACCGACCACTGGACTACAAGTCCCGCTCGCTCTTCGCTGGGCCAAAGTGGAAACACTAAGACGGATGTGAAACTATGTATACATACCGAGTAATGTCAATTTAAACAAACCACAACATTCTACCACCTACCACCAAAATGATGAATGTTAATGTTCAACTCGGCCGCGTGGGACGCTTGGGCCGCACTATGGCGAAGCGCTGTAATTTTCTGGTAAAAAACGACAACCCTTTTCACCCAAAAAATTAAGACCCATACATTTTAACGAGGGAGCGTGTGTAGGTCTTATTGATCCGAATTAGGGGCTGATCCGAATTAGGTTCAGTCGCTCTAAGGTAGAAAAGGGGTGTTTAGTGCCAGACGTAGTAATGGGCTTCGCTATTGCTCAGCCACCTAGTCAAAACATACTTGACGCGTACGTCAATGTATCGTGCCATCCAAAGAAGTAATATGGACATCGATCCCCCATCGCGAAGTAATCACTCCACGCTTGGTGGCGCGTGTCATGGAGGTGAGATATCAGCTCAGACAGTCGAGTACTGTCTCGCTGCGTCGCGGAAAGTGTGCTGCGGGGGTGGCATGAGTGGTCTGGCGAACATCAGGTGACGGCACGGCCTCAAAGTCCTGAGATGTTAGATTTAAAGAACAGGAGTGGTGCGTGTCGCCGTCAGTGTCATCATGAGGTCTGCGGTGCTAGCGCTGGCTCTGTGCCTTAGCGCGGCTTCTGCAGGCCCACTCAGCGGCGAGGAGAAGTACAGGTTACCGGAAACCTTCCTGTTTGGAGCAGGGACAAGCGCCTACCAGACAGAAGGAGCCTGGGATACAGACGGTGCGTCTTTACAAAACCACGAACACCACACTTTTGATAATCAGCTTTGAAAGTTGAAATTCATCTGCTGATCCAACCTTGAGTAATCTGGGATACTTACCCGTATGGCCTGTTAAAGCATAATTTTGTCATATTTTCGTCATTTGTGATATGACAAACCAATCACAAACCAACCACCATTAAAACTCAAAATAACGACGAAATAAATTCGTGTGAGTCGATTCGGCTTTGTCATTATGACGTGTTTGTTTCGTCATTTATTTGTGCTGAAATCGGTCAATTTCACGACAAATTAATGACGAATTAATCTCGAAACAATGACAAGACTTCAAGCGGCACGAAAAAACGATTCGCGCTTTTCGCCTGGAGGTGGAATCGAACCGCGAACTTCACCCACCGCAGGCCGGCACTGTATCCACCAGGCCACGGAGGAGACGTGCGGGAGGCGAGGTCGCCAGACAAGCCGTTGTTCTAGAGCGGCGAGTGGCGGCAGCAGCACGGGTGCGACGAGCTGCACCTCTCTGCTCGGAGCGACCTCTTTTCTCACGTCTCCCCCGTGGCCTGGTGGATACAGTGCCGGCCTGCGGTGGGTGAAGTTCATGGTTCGATTCCACCTCCAGGCGAGAAGCGCGAATCGTTTTTTCGTGCCGCTCGAAGTCTTGTCATTGTTTCGAGATTAATTCGTCATTAATTTGTCGTGAAATTGACCGATTTCAGCACAAATAAATGACGAAACAAAAACGTCATAACGACAAAGCCGAATCGACTCACACGAATTTATTTCGTCATTTATTTCGTCGTTATTTTGAGTTTTAATGGTGATTGGTTTGTCATATCATAAATGACGAAAATATGACAAAATTATGCTTTAACAGGCCATACGGGTAGGGTGCAGGAAATGGTGCATTACTTTAGGAAAGGGGTGTGTGACCAATGGGAACGACTGATGTATTGAGAGTTCGACAACCGAAAGGACTTGTGGACCGTATAGCAGACGATGCTGATAATAAACATGAACAATATCAAAGCTTCCCCTGATTGATTGTTTAAAGCAAATTAAAATTTACAAAGACAACGACATGGCGTGATTAAAATTGAGCTTTTCACAAAAGTATTTGGTTTTCGCAGAATTCAATGGCCTGGTGAAGACATCCGCAATGTTGTTGTATGACAGTACAAACACAAGTTTTACAATGCCATTAACATGCATATCTTTGCAATGGTAAAACTGAATATCAATGTGCTTGGTTCTCTCAGATATATTCACTGAGCGTAGCTCAGTCCGAGTCGCTGAGGGGTCATACGATTTCCTCCGTCGTGAGTCTGTCTGTCCGTCTCTCTGAAGCGCGGTGTTGTAAAGAGCGACTGCACCGATCCTGAAAAGCGGGTTATCCCAAACACCAATAATTTGTGCGATCACTGAATTTGATTTAACCGTGTGGATTTGTTTAGTTTGAAATATTCAATCGATTTATTTGAAAATCGCGGTTTGTTGATTGTATGATGGTAGCACTGCACTCGAGTAGGCAAAGACCGCAAACGGCTTATGCGCCACTTCACGATTTTCTTACTATCTCACAAGTGTTCAAATTGTCGGAATGTTAAACCAAGTCTCGCCGAGTCTGATATTTTTAGTTTTACAGCTGCGGAACTCGTTCTACGAAGTTTCGCGAGTGTCTGGTGAGAAGAATCGAAACTGATATTTCGAATGGTTTACGTGTTCCCGTACGTCTGTTGGAGGGA